AATGTCAAATTTGAGGATTCCAGTCTTATCCTAACACTACTTTTCGTACAAATATACAGCGAATTTTCAAACATCCGCCAAATCTCATACATAGATACCATCAGTAATCTAAATATCAAACTTCAGAATTTTTATCTCTATCCCTTCACCCAATACTAAATGTAGTATATATATAGTACCAAATACAGTACTTTTCGTACAATTATAGTACACCTTTGCAAAACCACCCCCATATGACCAGTCTACAAATGAAAAGCGACCCTTACACAATTTTTCAGACTTCAAGCACTATCACCCAATACCAAATTGTATCAAGTATAGTACTATTTAGTACTTTCCGTGCACTTTCCCAAACCAACTTTTTATCACAAACCTACCACCAACAGGGACCTCAATACAAAATTTAAAATTTCCAGCTTCATCCGTTCACCCTAAACCCGAATGTTTCAAATTTAGTACCAATTAGTACAGATCGCACACTTAGTACATATTTCTAGAACCACCTTCATATATTAAACTTACTTTCCAACCTTGATTTTCATACCAAATTTCAAGTTTTAAGTTATATACGTTCACATAATATCAAATGGTTCTATTTTAGAAGTTTAGTGCCATTTAAGAACCTTTCGTAACCTTAAAGTTCGAATTTCTAAATATCACTTGGTACATCTATCCTGCACTCCATCAGGGACACTCATTCCCAATTTCTGAATTCTATCAAATTTTTATTATAATATAGTAATTGTCGTATCCTTTTGGTTCGAACTTCGAGACTGACCCTCGTGCAAAATTTCAATATTTTAGCTTTTTGCCTCCTCTGGGCGTTGATTCTCGCTCGGTCAGTCAGTCAGTCACAGTTATTTCAATACTTCTATATATATATGGGTATAGGCGAAATAAAGAAGAAGAAATCTGTACTAATATATTGAGAGGTATATCCAACTCTGAATCGATTCCACCAAATTTGAGGCATTTCTGACTTCGAGAAGGATAATATTAAAAATAAATATCGGAACAATAGATATAAAAGGGACGGAGTTCCCGTGGTGAGTCTTGTTTGCTTACAGGAACATGTTGAATATGCAAAAATCCATCCAATTTAGTCTAATATTAACCATTTGACGCACAGTAAACTTAAATTTGGTAAAGATATATATTGAAGCAATATCCAAATCCCTAACCGATCTTTATAACATTTTCTAGAAACATCTGATAGGCGAGAATAAATTTTACTCACTTTCGGAGATCAAAATTGTCTATCTGCGCCCAAAATTATGCTTCACATTTATGCGAAAATTTTCCCCGAGTGTATCCTGTCAGTAGTTCGAATTTACAAAACAAAAGAGGGAAGAAAGAAAAAAAAAACTATATTATTTGAAATATGCATGGATAAGAGTAGAAAACCATTTCATGTTAACCAGTTTAGTGGATTTCTTGTTTTGTTTTTTTTTTTTTTTACCAAAACACACATACACTCACCCATACACACACAAATTGCGGGAAGAGAGAGAGAGAGTAACAAAAACAAAACTTTGGTAAATCATTTGTTGTGTTCAAATGTGGTGTGGAACAGCGTGTTTCAATGTTTTGTAGATTTCATTTAGATTTGTGGCAGTTGTGTGCCACTTTTTTCGATGGTTCTAATTTTTTCAACTTCCTGTTGGCCACACTTACTCACACACACACATGTATACACACCAGTAGTCATACCTAGTCATTTGGGATGTAATTTCATTAAAAATGTATGCAATTTTTAGGAAACGTACATGACGTTTTTTTATTCTCTTTCTTTTACCCACATTTTGTGCATAAAACACACATAAATCTATTGTCGTACCTTGGGGACCGTGTGTGTTTAGAGTACACCGAGTTGTCAGATCTCTTGGCAGCTGCTCTATTGCATCAGCGGCCATAGAAATGGTCGTTAGTACACTGCATGCACTATTTCGCCGGGGCTTCTAATGGAATTCACTTTACAAAGCTTGAGGTCATTTTTATGATTGTGAAAAACGGTGAACGGCGGTGGCCATAAAAAATGAAATCCCAAAATTAGATTTTTCTGTCATAATTTACAATTTATTGAAAATTGATTTTGTGACACACAAAACAAACAAACGAGGCTAAATGAAACAATGCAATTTTAAATCAAAGAATTGTGTCCTCTATTTTTTGGAATCATGAAGGTGAAATACTGTAGGGAAGAGGAGTGGATGTTAAGGGTAGAGCCTTGAAGGAGAATATGTGCAATAGAACTTTAATATGTATTATTCAATTTAAAATTACATATTTTGACCTTCCTTTAAGGAAATCAAAGTATTCGTCATAAAATAGGAATGTACCTGTTCCGAATTATTTGATCAATAAGAGATAACAGATTTTTGATACCCAAAAAAAAAAAAAAAAACTAAAATGTCAATACTGGTGTAATATGCCTTTAGAACCCTCAGAATACCGATTATCGAGTGGTTGCGTACTATGTGGACTATGTGCTGCTCTAAAAGCTTCTCAAAACAATGGGAATTTCGTTAAAGGGGTTCATTAAAGGGTTCGAAAAGATTAATAATTTATTACCTCGTATTGGACGCACCAAATGTGAATGAGAATCCTGAAATTTAAAATGGGAGTCGCTGATGGAGTGCAGGATAGATGCACCAAAGTGTCAAACTTTACAGTTACGAAAAGTTATATGATAGTTCCAAACCTCTTAAATGGTACCATTTGGTATTATGTGAAAAGTGCCTCTATGCCTTCACATAATTCCAAATGGTTCCATTCAAGAGGTATAGTACTGTTTAAGAACTTTTCGTAACCTTAAAGTTTGAAATTTGGTATGAGAATCAAGACTGGAAAGTACATTTGGTGCTAAAGGCGGTTTCGGAGATTTGTACTAAGTGCGCGAACTGTGCTAAAATGTTACTTAATTCTTAACAATTTGGTTTAGGGTGAACGGATGTAGCTGGAGTTTTGAAATATTGCATTGGGGTCCCCGTTTGTGGTAAATTTGTGATAAAGAGGTGATTTTGGAAATATGTACTACACGTGCACGAAAAGTACTATATTTGGTACAATTTGGAATTGGAGGAACAGATATGACATAAAATCTAAATATAATCCGAAATAAGCAGCCGGTTCTATTCAAATTTCACACACCCATTATTTCTACTAACACAAGATCTGCTGCAAAGATGGGATATCCTTCTGGTAACTCCCTCAAAAGGCCCAAAATGCTAAAAAACAAAACGCTCAAACAAAGCGAAATAAGCATCCAATTCTCTTTAAATTTCACACACACAAACATTTTTGCTATTTCTTCATGGCCTGAAATCGGATTAAGGATATATGTGGAAGCTATATCCAAATCTTAGGCTTCTTCGATAAAATTTTGCAAAGGTATTTGTTTCTAAGATGAATTAAGTTGGAATTGCCAAAAATTCAGTCCATTTGGACTGATATTCGACATTTAAAGCACAAAAAAAAAACTGAAAAAGGATTTATATCTTAATCTGAACCGATCTCCATAGCATTTGACAGAGGTATTTTCGAGCAATATCTTATGTCCGGTACTTAATATCATTATCGGATGAAACATATATATGGATGCTATAGCTACATCTGAAACGATTTAATTTACTTGTACCAAAATTTAGGTCATTATATTAGCCATTTGTTGCACAAATAACCGGAAATCGTTGAGAATATATGGAAGCTGTATCCGATTATCACCAATTTCCATAGGGTTCGTCCTTGGGCCAAAATAATGTTGCTTACGGAATTTCATCTTAATTGGATAATAAATGAGACCAGCATTTTGTTCACAAGAATACACGGACGAACGGCCGGACGGACTGACATGCATAAATCGACTCAGAAAGTGATTTTATGAAGATCATCAAAAGTAACTATGGGTCTATCCCGCTTCCTTCTCCCTGTTACAGACAAATGCAAGAAGACATAATACCCTTATTACTATGTGGTGAAGGGTATAATAATTTCGTTGCGTTCTCACCTGAATAGGTATACAAATATATTTCGTATGATAATAGATTTAAATTACAATTTTAAATTTCTTCCACACCAATGACGTCATTTTCTCTTCAGCTATTATAACTAACTTCCACACATCACATACGATGATATTGACATAAATTCTGATATGTTCACAACAATAGCAACAACTACAATACATCAAATTTGTAACAGTAACATATTTCAATCTCATTTGCCACTATACAATTATATCAATGTCAAATTGAGAACAAATTTCGATTTCTATGGCGAAAATATTTCACAATTATTTCCAACAATGCTGATGCTAAATGCAATTTGACAAATCAAATGCATTTCTCTCGCAGCGAATGCATTTCATGAAAATGTGTACATATGTATCATAAAAATTTCTGACAGCCATGTTTTCTATTCATTAGGAGAGCGAGCGACATAGTGAGAGAGCTTCAGGTTATAACCGGCAGAGATTTGCTGGCTGTGAATGGATATTATTTGCAGAAATTTATTGGATTTTTAATTTTAATAGATGCGATTGTATGAGTGGTGATGATGCGCCTGTATGTGTGTTTTGTATAATTTTTCAGCTGACAAGTTCCCACTGGCGTGTGGGCATTGAGAGATATATGAATGCTTTCAAAAACAAAAAATTCCCCCACTTGTCCATTTATTTTGCAATAAATGACAAATATGGAACAGAAGATTTCATTCCAAGTTTGCCGCGTTGTTCTGTTCTGGTTTATTTTTGCATAATAAAATAAATCATATTTTGATGATGTTTGTGCCATAAATCGGATTGTTGGTTAACAATTTTTTAAAACTATATAAAAAAAAAACAAAAAAAAGCATAAATGGAAAAGTATCTTTAAATTGAAACCAGAGAGAAGTTGTGTGAATATTTACATAGTTTTCCATTTTATATGCGCGCACACACACACCTATACCTATCTATAGAAATGTGGGAATGTTTATTTTTTCATATTTTTTTATTTACTTACATCACATGTTGATGAGGATATATTTTTAAGGCTTAAACGGAATATGCGATCCCTGAAAAAGAAAAGATAAAAAGCACCAATGTTATTTATTTTGCTATAACAAAAAAATGTAAAAAAAAACCAATTATATATATGTAAAATATAAGCCGATTTGGTTTGTGGTAATATATCATCACCTGAGTGATGACAAATGTCATACAGGATTGTAACCAAATAAAAGAACAATTTAATTTTAAATTGATTGGAATAGGAAGGGAAAATAAGCAGTGGATAAGAGCAGTTGTGTAATGGTAAAAATTAATTAAATTAAATTAAAATATTTCTTTTATTTTATTTATTTATTATTACTATAATTACACCTAAGTCTGTTTTTACACGGTAGATTGGTTCCAGAAGAAGCCGTGTAAAAAAAAACCGTGTAAAAAATTACATTGATCTTATACCAAAATGGGTGATTTGTTCCTAATCTCTAAAACCTATTAAAATTAGTGAAAAACAAGAATTTTTAAGAACAAGAATTCATGTTTATTTTGTTAAATCAAACATATATAATGCTTATTTTCACAAGCATAGTAAGTAATGATAAAAAGATATGCACTCAAATCTAAAAAGTAAATGTATGGCAAATTCAGGAACTAAAAAACTATGTTGTGAACGAAAAGAATAGGTTATTTAATTTTTTAGGTAACAAATAAAATAAAATAGAATAACTATTGATACTATCGATGGTTTCAGACTTTTTTTCTTTCATAAATACTTTTTTGTGATATGAACATACTTCGCAAAAATTAAATTTGCCAAAAAATTTTAAGTACATAGAATTTAAAGTCGTGCTAAATGGAATAAAATCGTGTAAAAAATTAAAAATATTCAATTTTCAAACCGTGTTATATCAAAACCGTGTACAAAAAGACCGTGTAAAAACAGACTTAGGTGTATTATTATTATTATTATTATTATTATTATTTTTATTATTGTTATTATTATTATTATCATTATTATATTATTATTATTATTATTATTATTATTATTATTATTATTATTATATTATTATTATTATTATTATTATTATTATTATTATTATTATTATTATTATTATTATTATTATTATTATTATTATTATTATTATTATTATTATTATTATTATTATTATTATTATTATTATTATTATATATTATTATTATTATTATTATTATTATTATTATTATTATTATTATTATTATTATTATTATTATTATTATTATTATTATTATTATTATTATTATTATTATTATTATTATTATTATTATTATTATTATTATTATTATTATTATTATTATTATTATTATTATTATTATTATTATTATTATTATTATTATTATATTATTATTATTATTATTATTATTATTATTATTATTATTATTATTATTATTATTATTATATTATTATTATTATTATTATTATTATTATTATTATTATTATTATTATTATTATTATTATTATTATTATTATTATTATTATATTATTATTATTATTATTATTATTATTATTATTATTATATTATTATTATTATTATTATTATTATTATTATTATTATTATTATTATTATTATTATTATTATTATTATTATTATTATTATTATTATTATTATTATTATTATTATTATTATTATTAATAGCATTATTATTATTATATTGCTTTTTATACCCTCCACCATATTATGAAGGGTATATTGATTTTGTCATTCCGTTTGTAACTCCTCGAAATACTCATGTCAGACCCAATAAAGTACATATATTCTTGATCAGCGTAAAATTCTAAGCCGATTTAGTGATGTCCGTCTGTCTCTCTGTGTGTCCGTCTGCCTGTCTGTCCGTCTGATGTAATCACGCTATCTTTCCAACGGATTGAGATTGAAGGCTAAAATTTTGCACACAAGTTTATTTTGGTAGTAGGCAGGTTAAATTTGTAAATGGTCCATGTAGGTCCACGTTTTCATATAGCATATAGATATTCGGTGTTTTGATGATTTTAGCGACATTATTCACCGGAATTTTTTTTAAATTTGGTATTTGAAGTTCGTATTGGACTCTACAGCCTAAGACGGAAAATTGTCTGTGCCGGTTCACGTCTTCGTATAGCCCCCATATAACGGTACATACAAATATTCGGTATTTTGATGATTTCAGCGTCATTATTCATCGGATTAGTTTCAAATTACGCATTTAGAGTTCGAAATGGATGCAACAGCCTGTGACAGAAAATTGTCTATGCAGATCCAGGTCTTCGTATAGCTCCGATATAACGGAACCTCCCTATATACTAGCCCAATATAATGGCTATATTTGGTATTATTAATATTTTAACAGAATTTTATTTTTTGAAAATGTTCAAATTCGTTCCAAATGGTGGAGGGTATTCAAAGGCCCGGCCGAACCAACTGTTTTTTAACTTTTTTTTTCATATTTAACCATCCCAATGCTCCCTTTTTAAACCCTCAGCCATATGGCTAGAGAGGGCTATTTAATAGGTCAAAACGTGCCTAGTCGAAATAACGGTTTTAGGCCCTAGGTCTCTTTGGACTAAATCCGTTTCAGGATATTTGGCGCCGATCTAGCGATGTCCGACCGTCCGTCTGTCTGTTTGGTTGACGCCCACGATAAATCTCAAAGGGAGTATTCAAGTTGGTCCAAACTTGGTACAGCGTAATATTTTTGTCAAACTAAGATCAAGTTCGGAGATGGGCAATATCGGTATACTCCTTCTGGTACCTCCAGCAAAAAATGTCAAAATTTTCAAAAAATATATTTCCTGCGGCCAATGAAACCGTCATACGCTGAACGAATTTTGCTCTACAGTATTTTGGCCCATTCCCGGTGAAGCGCTTGCTTGAGATGATCGACACTTTGGTATTTTTAGTGACAACCTTGCTTTCCAAAATACACTCAGACACAATAGTCCAACGGATTGGCATCCGGAGATTGTGGTGGCCATTGTGCGCTGGAAATGAAGCACGGAACTTATTTTGTAACCATTATTGGGTGGCGCGTACTGAGTACAATGGTACTGAGTCCTGTTGGAATGTCCAAGGTCTGCGGCCAAAATGTTTGCGTGCCCAAGGCTTTAATACACGCCCTTCAGAATATTTTCGAGATAATATTCGGCCACGTTCGATTAATATGAGCTGAGAGCGATCATAGGCTGTTATGGCGACCCACACCATTACCATGGCCGGCGCTTGAGTTCTGGTGGCCATCCGGACAACCGAAGTTGCACATTTTCATCGGTCCTCTATGGCAAGTAAACACGATTATTTTTTTTATTTACAAACTGATGGACAACGAATGTTTTTTCATGGGAGAAAACCAAATTCGGCAGTTCACCACTTTCGGCGAAGCGAAGCAACTCTTTAGCTCCTTTGAGTATATTTTCTTCCGGTTGCGTTGTAAGTTCTTGCACTTTTTGGAATTTCAATAACTTTACCCCGAGCTCATTTTTCAATATTTGCCGAATGGAATATTGCGATATGTTCAGCTCAAGATCCACTGGTTTCGATCAAGTCGCTTCTTTACTTTTCCAACCATTTCAGCTAATGTTGCTGTTTTCTTTCGTCTACTTCCTTGACGTAGTACCAGTAACGAGCGATGGTACGAGACACAAAATATTTATTCAAATTTAATTGTTGGAGTGCTCTAACGATAGCCTCTTGTGGTTTTCCATTCAAATATAAAGAAATCACACTATCAGGCTTGAATTCCATCACGAATTGCTTTTTTTCTGGAAAGTTTTCACCAAAATGCATTTGTACGCTTATAAAGAATGTAATAGATTTTCACTGCAATAATTTTAACAGCTGTCGGATAAGTGGCTTAGAAATGACAGGAGTCTGAAGTTGGTTGCAGTTTTTACATTTCACCCTGTATTATAGAGATTTTGTGCTCTTTCTTATCGCCAAAACTTTGTCAGTTAAAATGAGCATTTTTTTGTAAAGATTTATCTTGCTTGGTTTTGGATGATGGTCATAATTATATCATAGCCGCAATTTACAGAATACCTTTGTATTTATCTAACCGATCATAGACTTGTCGCATGACATCCTAAACAAGTATTGGGAATATTAGGTGTTTCTACAACACCCACCAGTCGCATAGCAGACCCCTCAGTTCTATGAGCCAAGGAATTCTCTTGAAAAATTAAATAATGGACACAATATGCACAATTTGACCTAAAATATTTTAAACCTATTTATGTCCTTAAGTATTCCAATTAAATGCAAGAAAACATAATTTCTTACAGAAGTAGTCTTAGTTTACTTACATGGCTCCCACATATAGTGAATCCCTTTCCTCGTCCATATGGAAAGTTCGGTAGTAGAGTTTTCCACAATTGAATTCTCGGACATGATCTGCAAAAAAAAAAAATAATATCAATATTGTATTCATTAGAATTTATAGCATAACATTAAATTTAAACAATATTTTAAAATTCTAGTATAAAATATAACATTTTCGAAATTTCAGATTTGCACAAAATGTAAATGCCAAACCATCTTAAATTTACCCCAAAAATGTCACCATTAGTGGGTCATACAAATGCTATTATAATCCATAATTTCCTATGTATTATTAAATGTGTAATAATTAACAATGTATGCACACACATATACATTATATATGTATGTATGCCGACCACAATGTTCACAGCACAACCAAGTGTTGGAGTGTATGTTCCCAACATACCAAAAATACAATGCAGCTTGAGAACAATATTATAAAAATATAATTTTTCAACAATGTTTGAGAAACACTTATGTTCCACAAACATTTCTCAAATCTGTCCCTTGTTGACAAATTAGTTTTGATTTTTTGTGAAAATTGTCAGCAAGAAATTATTTTCTTTGGCAGAAAACAAAATCACGCGAATTTAGGACCCATTTCTGGACCGAACCCTTAAGGTATGCATGAATAATAAATCCGGGAATCTTTCACATAAATTATTCCAATCCCATTTCAGATTGGAAGCATCAAAAAAGTTGAAGGAATTCAATAGATGTGTAGTCTTCAGAAGTTCAAATAAGAGAGAAGAAAGCGTCATGGTATCAAGGCCACATGAGGCAGTGACTACTGGGATGTCCATCAAGAAAAAAATGTGAAAAACGATTAAAAATTAAAAAAATAATAATATTATATACTATTACAAAAATAAGCTTATTATAATATTATTTTTGTAAGCTTATTCTACAATTTCAAGTATAAGCTTATAAATAAGGGTTCCGTTTCGATTATTCTATACTTGTTACACAAACATTTTTCAATGTTTTCTCAAGATTTTCTCAAGCTTAAGGCTTATGTTCATAAGCTTATTGTAATATTATTCTCAAGCCATTTTGGTATGTTGGGAATTGTGTTAGCATGAGTGTGTGTGTGTACTTAAGTAGCAAATTTGTTCGACGACAAAAACTGTTTGCGTTAACAATTTGTTACCATAATTAATGGTCAAGTACAACTCATATGGCGTCATTAGTGCTGACATTGTTGTTGCTGTTGTCGTCGTCGATGTTGTTCACTTACACCAGACTACGACGACTACACTGACCGTTTGTCTGACGCCCCACCATCCTTCCCTCCCTCCTCTCCTCTCCCACAAAAAACAATCACAATATTTAGAAAATAATTGCTTACAAAGATTTTCCCAAAAAGATTCTTCATGGTCAAATTTCGGTTCTGTTGGCATTGGTCATGTTTCTGACTGACTGACAGAGTGAGTGAGTGATAATTTGTTTATTTTCTTTGTTGACAGTGGCATAACCGACCGAGAAATTCTATTGTTTGGTTGTTAACCGTTAACCCGTATAAGTTTTTTTTTCTCTCTGTGTGTGTGGAAAATTAATGATGGTAAGCATGAAAAGTGGCAAGAAAATTTAAGAAGAACACACAATAAGTTGAAGGAAAAACAGAAAAGCTGTCTTTCTTAGGATATTACAAGGAAAAAATTAGGATACAGTTTATAAAAGAGAACTAGCGTCGATAAAAAATAATTGCATACTTTTAGGCATTAACAAAATGCAAGTAGTAGCACAGGTCCCCTAAGGCCACAGCGACTATTGAATACACACAGAGTCCGTCACCGTTGAGTAACTGACCACCGAGGCCGTTAACTTGAAGTACGTGGCCTCAGAGACCACTACTATGGGTAGGTAACACAAGGGCTGGCCCATATCCTAGGTGTTCCCTATTATAGAACAGCAGGCAGAGTAGCTGGTCACAGAAACTACTAATGCCGTTTATTTAGGCCCGGGGCCACTATAATAGATTAGCTGATCACAGAGAATAGTTGGCACTAAGAGGTACCGCAAATTTACATCATCAGTCTCAGAGGACGCATATATAGCGCCGCTGGCCTAATAGTTACGTTACTGTAGAGCACCGAACCTCAGATGCCGCTACTGTAAAGTAATTGGATCCTGAGGCCAACACTGGAAAGTTTCTGGACTATCAGGCCGCTGCTGTAATGTGGGGACACCATGGGGCACTAGTTTAGATTAGTTGGTATCAGAATTGACTACTAAGGAGTTATTGATCTCAGAGGCCACAGCTGTAGATAATCAGAGGCCACTGTTGCTGGCTTCAGAGGCAGCTGCAGTCATGTACATGGCCACAGAGGCCATTGCAGTAGATTAGCTGCCCTTAGAGATATTTACTGTATTACTATAGAATATCTGGCTTCAGAGGCCTCTGTTGTAGAATAACTGGCCACAGAGATCACTGCTGTAGTGTAGCTGGCTTCAGAAGCCTCCAATATAGAGTAGCAGGCCTCAGTGATCTCTATGGTAATGTAGCTGCTTCAGAGGCCTCTAATGTGGGTAACTGGCTCAGAGATCTGTACTGTAGACTAGGTGACCATAGAGGACACTGCTGTGCAGTATCTGGCTTCAGATGCCTCTATTGCTGGCCTCAGAGATCTCTACTTTAATATAGCTGGCTTCAGAGGCGTCTAATGTATAGTAACTGGCCTCAGAGATCTCTACTGTAGACTATGTGGCCATAGAGGACACTGCTGTACAGTAGCTATCTTCAGAGGCCTGTATTGTAGAGTAGCTGGCCTCAGAGATCTCTACTGTAGAGTAGCTGGCCACAAAGGCCACTTTTGTAGAGTAGCTGGCCATAGAGGTCAATGCTCTCAAGCTGGCCTCAGAGTATGTGCTGTATAGTAGCTGGCTCCAGAGATCTCTACTGTAGAGAAGATGGCCTCAGAGGTCACTACTGTTGAGAAGCTGCCCTCAGAGATCTCTACTGTAATATAGTTGGCTTCAGAGGCTTCTAATGTAGAGTAACTGGCCTCAGAGGTTTTTAATGTAGACTATGTGGTCATGCTGTACAGTAGCTAGCTTCAGAGGTCTCTATTATAGAGTAGCTGGCCTCAGAGATCTCTTCTGTAGAGTAACTGGCCACAGAGACCATTGTTGTAGAGTAGCTGGCCATAGAGGTCACCGCTATCAAGATGCTGGCCTCAGAGTAAGTGCTGTAGAGTAGCTGTCTTTAGAGGCCTCTATTGAAGATTAACTGGCCTCGGAGGTCACTGCTGTAGAGTTACTGGCCTCAAATATCTCTACTGTAGAGTAAATGGCACAGAGGTCACAGCTGTAGAGAAATCGGCTTTAGAGGCCTCGATTGTTGACTAGCTGGAATCGAAGGACATGCTGCTAAAAAGTAGATGGTCTAAGAGCCCGCTACCGTAAAATACCTCAGGTACCGCAAATGCAGAGTAGCAGTCCACGGAGGCCACTACTGTAGAGTAGTTGGATTCAGAAACATCCTTTAGTTTTTTTTTCTTTATGACCAATTTTTCCTATTGTACCTCGTCATGTTCCCCAAAAATCCTATATTACATTTGTGAAAAACCATGATAACCCCAACATATCAGGCTATTGAATAAGCAAATATTAATTGCCACCGTTATGGTCATATTTAAATATTTGATTGTATTTATAAGAAGCAATAAAATCAATATTTGTGTGCATGAATTTGGCTTCCCCCATATAATGGTCCTACTTAAGGATATGTTCATTTCACTCTCCCGCTCTCTCTTTCTCTCTCTCTCTCTTTCTATCTTTCAGTTTATGGACACATAAATAGGCTAATACAATACAAATTGTTGTGTAATGTTTAGCTCAAAACTTACACATCGATACAAACACACATGCACACACATATATATATGTGAATGTGATATAATTCCATTATATAGGTCACATACCAATGGTCGTTGGCTAAGACCTCCTATTAGCCAGAACAAAGAACTTCTTACAGCAAATTGTGGTCAGTTTTATTAATGTAATTTTTTGGTTTTTCTTCAATATTTGATTATGCCATTTTGTGTTCGTTTCTCTGTGTTAGTGGGTAAGTAGTAGTTAGGTATACACACACACATGTGTATGCATGTGTGTAGATATGTAAATATTAATTATATTAATTAAATCATTGCTGCTTACTGGCATTACTTGGAAAGTAGAATTGTTGTGGGTGTTTAAATATTGGCTTTTTGAGTTATGCATGTATTAATTTGGCATATGAATGAGTGTGGTTTTCCAAGCAATTTATTTATAAAATATTTCAAATAATTTAAGTAGATATGTTGGTCATACATAATTATAATAGCAAATGGAAGGAGATATAACATGTAAAAAAGCTGTAAGTTCGGCCGGGCCGAACTTTGAATGCCCTCTACCATTTGCAATGAATTTGGCAATTCCCAAAAACAATAGAATACGTTAAAAATACTGTTAAAATCTTAAAAATACCGAATGTAGTTGTTACATTAGGGTCTATACGACGACCTGCATAGGTAACTTTTTTTATAAGCCATAATAATATTCAAATGCGAAACTTAACAAAAAAAAAAAAAAAATCGGTGAATAATGTAGCTAAAATTAACATAGTACCGAATATCGAGAGGTACAGTTTAGTGGGGGCTATACGAAGACGTGAACCTGCACAGACAATTTTCTGTCATATGCTGTAATATCCATTACGAACTTCAAATACCAAATTTAAAACAATTCAGGTGAATAATGTCGCTAAAATCATCAAATTACCGAATATAGGGAGGTACCGTTATGTGGGGGCTATACGAAGACGTGGACCAACACAGACAATCTCCTGTCATAGGCTGTGGCATCCATTACGAACTTCAAATACCAAATTTGAAACAATTCCGGTGAAAAATATCGCTAAAATCATCAAAATACCGAATATCGGGAGGTATCGTTATGTGGGGGCTATACGAAGTCTGTCATAGACTGTAGTATTCATTTCAAGCTGCTAATACCAAATTTGAAACAATTCCGATGAATATTGTCGCAAAAATAATCAAAACACTGAATATCGGGAGGTCTATAACAAAATG